ATGAACGTGTCAGAAGATCCCAAACTCTCTTCTAAAGCACAACTCCATGATGATCTGAGAATGTAGAACACACACATAGTCTTTCAGAGTGTGGTCACCATCATGAAAAATGGCTTCTCCACTTGGAAAGTATCACATTCAGGTCTGCGCTAATACCCTTCAAGCTTAGAAGCTCTGACAGCATAGCGGAGGCCATTCAGAAAAAGCTTGGGGACACTACACCTGACAAACTTTTCACTCTTCTAGATGTGGAATGTTTAGGGGCCTGTGTAAATGCACCAATGGCTCAAATAAATGACAACTTACTATGAGGATATTGACACCTATAAATACTGAAGAAATTATTGATGAACTCAAGGCTGGTAAAATTCCAAAACCTGGGCCAAGGAATAGACGCTTCTCTTGTGAGCCAGTTGGGGGTCTCACCTTTTTCACTGAACCACCCAAAGGACCTGGCTTTGGTGTGCAAGCAGACCTTAAATTTATATTCAACTGTAAACATGTCACTGGAGAAGTAAAATATGAATGTCCTATCTAAAAACAACCAAAAAAGGGAAAATGGCCTCTAGAAAGAAAGTACATGATGTGGCAGCTGGTGAGTAATGGAAAGAGGGGCTAGGCATTATTTTACACCAATGGATTGCTTTCTTATTTCTCCTTTGGAAAATGTCCTTATTTGCTTCACTGGTAGATGATGAATTTATCTAAGATGGCTCCATAACAAATTGTGGTATGGCTACAACAAAGGGAAATTTGGAACAAAGTGTTCATTATTTATTGGCAATTTTTAGAATGTTAGAAATAAAATGGGTGGTGAGGATCATTTATTCCAATATTCTCATTTCATGGATGAGAAAAACAGAAGCTCAAAGGAGGGATGTAACTTGCACAGGATCACAGAATTGATGAGAACGTATCCTATGGGTGAGTCATTATTCCAGGCTGTGAGACTAGAGAAGGCTTCCTAAAGATGATGACAGCCCATAGGGAGCCCTCACTCCTCTTAACCCTCCTGTGCTCCTCACTGGCTCTATTACTCTGCACTGACTGCTTTATCTAGTTAGATATCTCTTCATGTGCTCATATTTGATCTTCCCAAGATAGAAGTTTATTAATGACCCCTGTAAAGCATTTAACACTGTGAACATTGTGGGTTCTCAAACACATTTCCTTCTCTTGACTGTTTTGTATCATTTCTACTTTTTTTGGTGTCCTCCATTAGATTAATTTTCTGATTATCTTTGTGTTTCAAAAACTAAATCAAGGTAAATTAATCAACACCAATAGAAATCTATGCTGTACTCACTGACCCTACTCTAATGAGAACTTCAATGTAGGTCTGGTTTTTTGAAACATCTGAGTAGGCTTTGCTTTCTAGAGCGCCTCACAACCATTCCAAGACAGGATGGAAAGTTGTATCCCATCTAATCTATTATCGCCACCAGAGATGTGAAGTTGAATCATTGTCTTGATTTATTAAATAGCTAGCATTGACTATACTTCCTATTTAAAATAGTTCCAAAAATGGATATCCAAGAGGTTCATTACAATGTCATGTTTCTGATCATGGACTGGTAGGCAGCACAATGGCAAGGGTTGATAATAAATTTGAGGCAAAATGTTAGTTCTAGAGAAACACTCATAAGCTCATTGATTGATCAAAAATACAATCTACCACCATAATTCCCCACCATAGGTAACATATAATTAAAAAATAGGCTGACCGATAAAGTGTAACCAAATGAAAAAAATCAGCACATCTGATGACATACGGAAAATGGTGTCAGAGCCTGGATGTCTGTTTGAAGCAGAACTGATAGAGCTTAAGTGAACATGTTGCTATTAGCTCTGATATCCACTCTCAATGTGGAGGCTGCAAGTAATGGAAAGAAGAAAAATTTAGGGAGGGGACCATCATGAGTTTGAATCCATTGCTTAGTAACAGATTAATAAAATTATATTAGCCACAGTCTGCTTATGTGCAAATAAAAATAATGGCTAAAATCTACTGAATGTCCACTTCATGTCAGAATTCATATATCTTCTTTATATATATTAACCTATTTAAACTTAACATATGAAAAAGGTTATAATTATCTCCACTGTACTGAGCAGCAGCAAGCTTAAGTAGCTTGCCTAAGAAAACAAATCTAGGAAGTGGCAAGGCTGGGGGGGAGGGCGCAAATAAGTAGTGAATATTAATAAGTTAAAAACATGTAATAGGATACTGAATGACAAGCAGGACCCTAGTTTTGTTAGTGGTGCATGAATCCAGGAGCAATGCTTATTGCAAAACAACACCATTGACTAGGCTATATGAAAAATGCACAGCACCCCAAATCCTAAGCAGCTGTTGTTCAGTTAAACAGAGAAATGCCAGGAGAACATATGTGGCAATGGTTACTAACTGTGCAGCACACTATACTTATGACAGACACCTTATGGAAACAAAAATTAGACACTACTGGGCAGAAAATCAAGTGAGTGTTAGAACAATATACCACCCATTTGAGTGTGCAGAAATGAGAGCGGCCATTAGCAGGAGTTAGGGGAAACCTCCTGGAGAGATGGGAAGACATGAAATAAACATTGATGGCGGAAAAGGATTTAATCTAGCATGCACAGAGTGGTGTTGGAAATGAGAATGGCATGTTTGAAAAACTATAAGGAGTCCTGTCTAAAGCAGAAGCTAGTGTGACACTAGAAATAGTGCAAAAACATCCCTCAAATAATCTGATTTGTGGGGCTCATTTACTCCATTCTAAAAGGAGACTTCTTACAAAACTGCTCCAGTGTGAACTGGTCTTGCTCTGGGTGTAAGGGTAGTACACTTGAATGGAAACAGCAAAAAACAAAACAAACAAAAAACCAAAAGAACAACAACAACAACAACAACAACAACAACAAAACAAAAAATCTCAAAGTGCTCCTCAATAGATGACTCTCTTGGTCAATTATTTGTCAGCGGCTTCCTGTGGTCACTATTCACTGAAATTCTGAAACCATGTCATGCAAGTTTACAGGAGAAAATGGTTTGTTTTATCAAAATTTGAATATATGTATTTAAAAATATATATTTTTATTGATTTCAGAGATAGAAAGGGGAAGGGAGAGATAGAAACATTAGTGATGAGAGAAAGTCATCAATTGGCTGCCTCCTGCATGCCCCCTATCCGGGGACCAAGCCAAAAACCCGGCATGTGCCATGGACAGGGAATCGAACCAGTGACCTCCTGGTTCATGGATTGACACTCAACCACTGAGCAACACTGGCTGGGCTAATTTTTAAGTCCTTTAATATACCTCCAAACACCTACTGCTAGCAAACTAAAGGGAGAAAAAAAACCCTTCAAATAACTGGAAAATAATTGACTGGGAAAACATTTTTTCCCCGTGTTTCTTTTTTAAAGAAGTAAATTAGTCAGTGAACCTATTGCCATGTTCAACTTCATTAATTAAAAATTAAGAGAAATTATTTAATAACTAGAAGCCCATGCACAAAAATTTGTGCACTTTCGGGGGGGGCGGGGGGGTCCTTCAGCCCAGCCTGTGCCCTCTCGCAGTCTGGGAGCCCTTGGGGGATGTCCACCTGCTGGCTTAGGCCTGCTCCCTGGGGTATCTGGCCTAAGCTGGCAATCAGACAACCCTCTGGCAGCCCGGGAGCCCTCATGGGATGTCCACTTGCCAGTGGGGAGCAGGTCTAAGCTGCAGTAGGACATCCTTAGTGCTGCTGAGGAGGTGGGAGAGGCTCCCGCCATCACCACTGTGCTGGCAGCCATCAGCCTGGTTTGTGGCTGAGCAGAGCTCCCCGTGAGAGCACACTGACCACCAGGGGGCAGCTCCTGCATTGAGCGTCTGCCCCCTGGTGGTCAGTGTGTGTCATAGTGACCAGTCATTCCCAGTCGTTCTGCTGTTAGGGTCATTTTGCATATTACCCTTTTATTATATAGGATTATATATTATTATACTATATAAATTATATTAATGGTTTTTAATAGAAATAGAAAAAGAATGGAAATTAATAATGAAGATTATTAGTAAAAATAAAATTTAATTAAAAATAAAGAACATTGGTTTGAAGGAGCATCAAATTACTCATCTACTCAAGATGCAGTGTTGAGGTCTGAATTGGAAATCTCATTTGGAGAGAAATGTCAGATGGAAAAAAGCGGGGGGTGGAGGGGCAGGGCAAAGTCCTTGGAGAATAGTGTCAGGCACTCAGATTTTATCCCATTTCTCAGGAAAAGACTCCTGAAGGTACACAGTGAGCAAAAGTAGGCCAAGTGTTGCCGCCATATGTAGGATGAACTGAAGATGATGTACAGGGAGGCCAGTAGAGACTGTTGAAGTAGTTAGGCATGCAATAGTGATAATCCAGCCACAAAGTGGTTTATCTTTAATAAGCCACTGCCACATTCCAAAGAAAAATTAACAGTGCTTTGTGACTGACCAGATAAAAGAATTTCGAGAAGACATGAGTGATCATCATGAAAGAGCAGGTGAACAGTGGCACTATCACAAAACAAGGAGTTTGAAGCAGAGAGCTAAAGCTCATTGGAGGGATAAAAATAATGTATTGATCTGGAAGATTTAGACACATCAAGATATGGGTTAAATTAATATGTAGCTATGGAGAGGGTGTGTTAGAGGAGTCCTCCCTCAGCCCACATACATGTTTGTAAAGGTACAGTCAGCACAAAATAAGATAGCAACAATAGCCCTCCTCAAGGCATGCAGAGAAGAAATGCCCATGAAACACATTATTTTCAACCCCCTCAGGTCATTCACATATGGACCCTAACACCAACTCCTGTCACGTATTGACTATAATAAGCAATAGAAGATACGGAATTTCAAAGGCAAGCTCAAGAAAATATTTTTCCTCTTTATGTCCACATATATCTTCTGAACTGAAATAAAATATCCCACATATAATCAATCATTTTCTTTGCTGAGCAACAGGTTTATTATTCATTTACTAAAAAACATGTTTAGCACAAAGATATGTTCTGTAGAAAGATAAAGCATAACACTTTTCAGATTTTCACTGATTTTTGAAAACAACATTTCTCAAGTGGTAGAACTATATAAACACAGACATGAAAAACACCAACATCACATTTTAAAAAAATTGGCAAGCACACTTGGCTTTAATAAAAAGAAAATTAAACTGGTAGCTTTGGAAACACAGCATTCTGTGAGTTGTGTACATGTTTCCTCAGGGAAAATTTACATTTGTTCCAAATCACATTTATTTATAGGAATAATACAAATTCAATACATATTTAAACTCAGTTGTGTCAAGAAGATAAATAATAACCATGGGCATCAGGTCAGGAAAGAACTGAGCTCTTAAGATAGACAGGCATTCTTACTTAAAACCATTTGATTAAGCTAATTCTCAGCACATTCAAGGTACTCTTATTGATTGGATTAACAATGGCTAAAGTTAGAAGTGATGAAATTTCCACTTGCCTTAGATTGTTATTACTATCATTATCTTAAAATTTTTGAGTCCAGCTTTTCATTACAGGTAAATAAGGTTCATTTCTTTCCATCTATGTAATAACCTGTCATAGGTAATAACTTAGAAGGGTAGAAGAATAAAGAAAACAGGAACAAAGGAAGGGACTAATATGTGGAGGAGAGAGGAAAATTAAATTAATAAAATAACTTAACTAGCTTTCATTATTATTCAAATGTCATTCTACCAGAGGTATACAAAGACAGAGGGAGATGCCAGGGCCGAAGTCCATGAACTTAAAATCTATGTAGGGAGACAATAAGTTCCACATATGTGATTCAAATAACAAAAGAATAAAATTTCCAAGAGTGTATTGTATCAAAGTGTATGACAAAATGCTGAGAAAATCCGGTGTCATCAAAACAGCTACTAAAGAGAACATGTATATGTGATTATGCTCTAAGAAAGATGTAGGATTTGGCACAGAAATCCCAGCCAGGAGAATAGTATAGGTAACTTTAGCAGAAATGGGCAGGTTGTTTGCAAGCCAGGAATAACTCAGAGCAGACCTACAGTGGAAGCATAATAGGCAAGGAGGGCTAGTCAATAGAGGTTGAGGCATCAGAATCTGATTTAAGATCTCATAAGGAGCCCCTGTAGTTTTTTAAACAGGAAAGTAGCTTCAAAAATATTCACACATTGTATCTCCATTATGTTAAAACTATCTCTTGGGTTTAATAAAAATTTGATTGAACTCATGTTTGTACGCACAAGGTTGACCTGGCTCTCATTCTGGAGGCATTATGATTGACATGATATGGTTTATATGTGTATATGATGAAAAATTAGGCTTAATAGCCTACCTAACAATCCAACAATCTCACTTTTTAATAAACTGACATAAAAGGCATTTATAGTTGGCTCTGTGGGCAATGATTAAAAAGATGGTTCCCCCAAATTTATTCCCAAATGACTGAATAAATAAATGCACATACTGTTATGGACTGAATTGTGTCCTCCAAATTAAATGTTGATGCTCTAGCCCGCAGTGTGATAGCTATTGGAGATGGGGCCTTTGGGTGGTAATTACTTTTAGATAAAGTCACAAGGGTGGGGCCCTCATGATGGCATCAGTGCTCTTATAAGAATAGAGACCAGAGAGTTTCCTCTCTCTATCCTGTTAGGACAAAGTGAGAAGGTGACCATTTTCAAAACAGGAAGAGAGCCTTCATTAGGAACCTGAATTAGCCAGCCCCTTGATCCTGGACCTCCCAGCCTCACAAGCTCTGAGAAATAAATTCCTGCTCTTTAGGCCATATGGTCTATGGTATTTTGTCATAGCAGCTTGAGTTGACTAATACATAGTGTCATTATAAACAATCTGAGACACTTCACTGATCCTCTCCTCCACAACTTTCCCTAAATTTTCCTTGGCTTTTCCTTATATGGATGGCAGGCAAGGGAAGCATGAACTCATGTTTATTAAATTTTAGTTAGCATCTATAAGATGCTCTATATATGTTACCTAATTTAACCTTGGCAAGAATATGTGACACCATGATCTATAAGAAGTGTTCAAGACAATTTTATTGAAAAAAAAGTAATAGAAAATGTACACATTTTATAACCCACAATTAGGAGTCTTCTAAATAGTATACACGTATAACTAATTTATATCTGACAACCACAGTGGACAATGAAAATAAAACACTCCTTGATAACTTTTCTTAAGGATAATCAATAATTTATTTCTCTTTTATTGTCACAATTACCACAATTATCTAGCTACATGACCAATGTCACTACATATCACAGGAAGATTGTCCACCTACACTTTACTGAGACGAAGACAACGGCCATTTATGTGCTAAATGTACAACGGGATGTTAAACCGAGGTGGTTTTTATGTATAAGGTGTGGTACATGATTTATTAACAGATTTGATTTAATACGTATTATGCCAAGAAGCAAGTATAGAAATGTTTTGGCATTGACTTGTTATTAAAGTAGAAAATAAGCAAATTAGAGAAATAAATCCAGATCTTAACTTACAATAGATACAATAAAATAGGAAATTAATTGGCTCCTCAGAATTTTTGTTCAAGTTTTTTTTTTTTTGTTTTCTTTCCTTTTGATTTTATATATAAACGAATAATATGAATATATCACAAGTTAAAGAAAGTCCTCAGGGGGAAAAAAAAGGTACGAGTATATGAAAAACAAATGAAAAATTACCAGGTATTTTTGCCTTACAAAAAATTTAAACTATAAAGAGTCAGAAAATATATATAAAAACGCCACATTGAACGAGGCAATCATACTCTACCCAAATTGGTAGCACCCTCTTAAAAGCAGTTGCATTCCATTCCCATTCACTCGGTCATACAGTGGTGACTGACAAAAAGGCATTATGAACTCGCGTGCCATCCGGAGACTTGGCCCCATGGGTCATCAGTTCTTGGATTGTCATCCAGTTGTCCAAAATTTTCTTGTTTCTCTTCTTCATCATCTTTTTGTGACTCAGTTCAATGATGTTGATCTCCTTCTTGCCCTCGCTGCCGCTCTGAGGGCTCTCCTTGAGACACTCCAACCGGCTCCGCATCATGAACTCTCGGCGCCGACGCTGCTCTTTGGCCCGGACCAGGTGTTGCTTTCTTTCCTCTTTGCTCCAGTAGCGACCCATTTTCATCTCGCTCATAGTGTCATCATCCGTCGTCATGCCACTCCGCTCCTCCTTGATCTTTAAGGCACGTTCCTTCAGAATCCGGTCTCGCACTGGCCTCTTCGTGATGTACCGGGTCCCATCGCTCCGAATTTTCACCTTCCATTCCATCTTGGGTTCCGAACACTTCTGGGACTCCTTGCACATGCTCACCAGACTCAGCTGACTCTGGGCATACTCGACGGCAGATTTCTGTTGAATTAGCTGCATGTAGCTTTGATAATGCCGGGCGTGGGCTGGTATGTTCGCATACCTGTATGAGGAGCTGTGGTAAGGAGAGAGGTAAGGGATGTGTTCGCTGCCGGTCTTCTCTTGATCAGAAAGCTTGTTGCTTTCTGAGATCTTCTCCTTGCCTTCAACGCCACAACCTTCAGTGGCTTTGGCTTTGGTGGAGGTCGACTCTTTACTGCTCTGTCCAGGAGAGGACTGGCTGGCTGCCATTGTGCTTCTCAGGTTTTTCTTATTGGTGAGGTTGATCATTCTGGGAAGGGAGCTGTCAGGGGAACGGTCCACGGTGAGCGGTGTGCTCCTGCAGCTTTCGGCTGTGTTGTAAGCACTAGAACTGTCCTTGTCTGACTTCTCTGGGTGCTCAATGATGTCATCTAGTTTTCCTCTTTGCATATCAATGCTGGTGTTATAATTTCGGAATCCTCCATCATGCAATGCCCAGATGTCTCCGTACTGGTCTGTTACCTTCTGGAGCCTATGAGCTTGCATGATATTCTGGCACTCAAGTTCAATGTTTCTTAGTTCTTCGTTCAGCAACTGTAGCTCATGCTCCACTCCCTCTTGTTCCCCTTGGTTGCATTCTATTGTGCTGCTCGAGTAATACAGGTCGTACTCCCCATGGTTTTGAATCTTGCATTTGAGCTCCAAGAGCTGCCGGAATCGCTCACACTCCTCATCTTGGTTGCCAGGGCAGTCCGAGTCAATGTATTCACCTGACACAAAGCTCTCATTGCACTGGAGTTCCACGCTCCCCAGGGTGTCCTGGCTCTGCCCCAGCTCTCTCTTGCTCTTCAAAGATGTGCTTTTGGGATCCTCAGCCGCATTCTCCTGCTCTGAGCTCTCATCGTTCCGCAAGCTTTCATCCGTGCGCCCCACTCCACTGTCCTTCTCATGGTTGTTGGATGAGGATGTGGCCGTGTCTGTTGTGCCTTCTTCTTCTTCTTGTTTTTTTGGCTAAGAAAACAATGTTGAGGGAAACAAAGAAAACACGGATTGTTGAAACACTTGCTGTGAAAACAATGCTTTCTTGGCAAAAGTGCGGTTCCTAAACAGCTGCGGCACTTTCAGTATCCACAGCAACGTCAGAAATAAAGGCAGTTAGCCCAAGGTGGCTTTTTATGCCATGAATTAAAGAAAACAAAAGCTGACTGGCTATGCTACTCATTTGAGGATAAATAAAACAGGACACCGTTAAATAAGCGATTCTTATCTTAAGGCTTTCTCTTACTTGGAAAACTGGTGTGAAGGTATGTGTATGAGTTTCTGGGGTGAATATGAGTAAGACAGAGTGTCTATGTCCTTAGCAATATGGAGGCCTAGAGTTCAGAAGCCACATCACCTCATTTTTTTTACCTGAATCTTAAGTTCAGAGGACATTTTATTGATCTAGTTATACACTGGTAATGGTTAGCCAAACGTCACAAAATTTCAGGAATAGGTTAGTATTGGAGCCTAGGACCTTCTATCTATCGATGAGGAAGCTTATTCTCAGATGGGTTTAGCGTATTGGTGACAGAGAGGTCTAGAAGGCAAGGCCATCGCCCGGTGTCAGGCTTTCTTATGTGTCCAGAATGCCATATTCCTGCACACGTGTGCTTTGACCTCAGTGCATCTCCAACTCATGTGGCTCAGAAACAACAATAATATCTTAGGACTCATTTGGGGGTACTTCAAAAGATTCTTCTATTCTTAACCAGTAATTTCCTTCAAAGGGTTTATTTTACAGAGAATAAAAGAACAGTTCCCTTGAAAGTCTGAGCCACACTCATTGCCAGATGTGGGCATAATATAAAATATATATATATGGTAATTTTTGGCTTTCACACAGAATAATAAACTGCCACTGAATCTCCTTATACCTAGTTCTTTCTCTGTGAAGAGGGCCAAGTTACTTTTCCCCACCACTCCTCATATAGTCTACCTGGCAGTTTCTAGACCAGGGGTGGGCAAACTTTTTGACTCGAGGGCCACAATGGGTTCTTAAACTGGACCGGAGGGCCGGAACAAAAGCATGGATGGAGTGTTTGTGTGAACTAATATAAATTCAAAGTAAACATCATTACATAAAAGGGTACGGTCTTTTTTTTCAATAGTTTTATTCATTTCAAACGGGCTGGATCCGGCCCGCGGGCCGTAGTTTGCCCACGGCTGTTCTAGACTATAGTTTCCTTATGTCTGAGTTTTTTTCTCTAGCAGGAGTAAGTATATAATTAATGTTAATGTTAAAGAAGGGCAGAATGGGTGATAAAAGGCATTCTGGAACAGGTCTGAAGGGTCTCCCCAGATACTTCTTTTCTTCCTCATAAGTAATGAGGAACAAAATGTAACAGATGGAGAAGGGGAGAAGGTGGCCATGCGTCATGTTACTCTAGGATTCTCAATCTTTTCCTAAAATACAATTCCTCATTTGGCAAAAACATGCTGAGATTGATTTTAAGCGCCTTATTGATGAAAAATAGTGTTATAAATCATTGTAACTAACAATGGAAAGCCAGTTACATCCCTATGCCCCTCCCTATAAGCTTATAACAATATTAAATGTGGTGACATCTGCATGCTGTTCCGGGAAATCCCCAGGGGATATTACTGATATTGGGCATTTGAGTCTCTGTACCACATCATTTACACTGATACTTTTCTATACCTAATGATAAGCTGAAACAAATACAAGAATACTAGTATTTTTTAAATTTGTCATGCAGTATAAGTGATATAAACAAATTATGCCACGGGAGATGTTATACAATGTGTCAAGAGCTGCTACAGGACCAAGGATAGCCTGTGAAATGAAACTTTCACATGGTGATGTATTTTAGTTTTTAAATATGGATATGCATTTTAAAATTGAAGTTCCCTTTCTTTTGTCACCGGTTTATGAACAAATGAGAAAATAAAGGAGTTTTTATTTTTTATTCTCAAACCCACAATTCCTAGTTTCTAAGGCAATGCTACTCCATCGTTTATCATTTCCCTAGAGAATTATTATGGTGACAGGCAATGTTTCTACCAGGACATGCCTAATGTAGTATTATTGTTTATAAGGGCAAAGGACTTTTAAGGGTTTTTGCACTTCTCATCATATTTCAGTCTCCTGGTGAAGAAAAATTTCCACACAATAAAAATCTAACCTCAGGGACATCTAGCGTTCCCTCAAAAGACCTAGCATTTGTATTATATCTGATGAGTAGGCAGCATTTGACACCGTATCGCTTCACCTGGACAGGATTTCTCCTTCTCTCTTTATTCCAGCATCCCCCCGTCAATTCTGCATCAGGCCACATTGTGTATCTGAGAGAGAAAAGGCCTGCAGCAAGGTCTTTCTTGCTTGTAACCAGCAGCTGCCACCCGAAAATATCTTTATTTGTGGCCAGTGTTGAAGTCATACATCCAAATTTCAGCCTGTCCTATATTGAAAAGGATCACTACGGCAGCAGCATTGCTTCGAGCATGAACTACTCTTTATGAGGTGGCCAATGAGCATCCATGATCAGGGCAGCGTATAGAGCCTACGTGCCTATGTTGACATTGTCGTTTGCAATCTCATAATTTATTTAGTATATGGACATGTGCACATACATGCACATACATCTGCGTTACGGGATGCTAGCATGTCGTCAACATATTTCATCATTTAGCTTGGTAAAGTGATAGGATGTTTGTGTTTTACATTCCTAACCCTGTCAGGATATTTTTAAAATTATCTTTTAAGATGTATTAAGGATTCATGTTGAGAATAGGATGATAATTAAACAAATCAGTAAACTGACAGCAGAAGTGTTAATAAAATACATGAGGCAGATGAATGTCATGAATCTTACATAAACAAAATCTAGGACATATTGATCTTGTTTGTATCTAATAGGAAAACAACAACAAAAAATGAAATGACTTGGTTTGCTCCAAACCACGGTGTGATCTTTTACTAGTTACGAATTAATTAAGGGCAGGAACTTTGCTCATTTTTCTTTGTATTCTCAGGATCAAGTGTGGTGCTGGGAACACGTGTGGAGCTCAGAATTTTTCACTGAATAAATAGGTGAGCCTAATTGATGTCAATAATTTCAAGTAGAACTGCTCCTATTTTTAGCATAAAGGTATCATCATGATGCCAAAACCACAAATAAGATGGATGGTTGACATCATGTCATTATCTTCCCTTAGTTGCCTAAATATTCAAATACACACATTAATTTTAAAGTATAAAATGACTGTTTCAGGGGAGGAGTCACCTTAGGAGTTGTAGTTTGTCTCCAGCTGGCATACTGAGAGGCAACATGCATTTTTACTATTAAATTTCTGAATTAGGTTGAACAGTATCTGGGTCAGCATTTGAATACTACTGTACACTATTGACAACAGTCCCTCAGCTACCCAAACTAGAAATATTCTTAATAGAATAAAATTGTATGTACTCCCACTGCTTCATTTGAGATTATCATTTGTTCTCCAAATTACCATTATAGATATGTTTGATCAGACTCTTTGATTTTTTTTTTTTACTCCATTTATGGTTATACATTAAAAAAGAGAAGTAGCAACATTTCAAATGATGCGGTTCAAATTGTTGGCCCTACCTGCTCCACCTCATTGGCAGTGTGCTGCATTGCTTCATTATGCTGTTCTTCCAGCATCTCCAAGTTTAACTCCTCTAAGAATTCGTTCCTTTCATCTTCCAGCCAGCCTTCGTCCAGCTGCACAAGAATACATTAGTGCTTTCTATTAGATTAGTGAGAACTCATGCTAAAATAGGGGAAACTTAAATGGCGATGCCTGACCAGTTCCTTTTATCATAATGATTCTCTTTAGAATACCAGCCTGATAGTTCACCTCTCAGAAGGAAGAAAAGGTGTTAAAAAATGTATTCTTATGCCTTTCATCCTTTCCTAAGAGAGAGCTACAGATTTTCTCTCATAACCCAGTGGATCTCCCAGCACAGATGTGACTGTCTTTCACAGTGTATGAAAAGCCCACTGTCCATCCTCAGCTGTCAGCTCATTACCTCCAACTATCCCTGTGTTGAAGAAATGCACTGGTACTAATAGGGCCACGAGATGATAGGACTTTTTTCCCTTAATAATTGCCCCCCCTCCCCGCTGCCAATGTGACTACAAAGTGCCCTCCCCACTCTGACTCTACCCTCATGCTGTTTTTCGAGTTTTAGGTGAATGGATTCCAAGTTAACCAGATGGCAGCTTGCCACAAACAGACATCTTTATTCTATTTGGGAAAAAAAAGTCTAAGTTATTCTTCTCGACAACAGTAAAACCAAAAAAGTGATGCTATATCATGTTTATTTCAATTCATTTTCCAGGCCCAGTTGCAAATGTTGCATTTAACGGTAGTGGAGTGAGCACACAGGGTTGTGTTCGTGGGTGCTGAACACAGGGATTCCTGTGGACATCTTACACCAATTATACTGAATGGATCCCTTTGGCTTCTCAGTACAAAACGAAATGGAAAACTGGTGGTTACCTTGCTAGTATGATGAGTGTTGACAGCCAATACAGATAATTTTTCTCCAAGTGGATTTTAGAGCTGGATTACATAAATTAGCTGTCTATGCTGATTACATTAACTGAATGATTGGCAAACCTCTGCTTCACTCTATCTTACAGAGAAACAGCAGCTTGCTAGTGAGCCAAAATTGACAATAATTTCAGGTGTTTTCACCACTAAACAAATGGGCAGAGTAACCTTTTAAAGATAAGTAAATCTAACACTTAAAAACAAGTCGAACAGAAAGACTTAAAGGGCACCAGAAGAGACATTCTTGTATAGGTATCATTAACAAGAAGGCAATCATTGGCTTCTTGATATTTATTAAAGGGTATCGAGAACTAAAAATTACCTGAAATTTTATGGGGGGCCAAGAGCCTGGACACACTTATTCATCCTCATTTATCTTAATGTAGCCTTAATAACTTGATCAAGCTCCACCCCACCGACTTTGATGTGCAGATGAACTATGAAAATTAAGCAGACTAAAAATTTAAATTCAGTCCAATTTATAATTGTCCAAGTTTTACATTCTTCTTCTTTTTCTTAAATCCTCACCCTCAGATACTTTCTCTATTGCTCTATACAGAGAGTAGAAGGGAGGAAAGGAGGGGGAGAGAGAAACATCAACTGGCTGCCTCCTGCGGGCGCCCCCAACCAGGGCTGCTGATCAAACCTGCAACCCAACAGGCATGTGCCCTTGACCGGGAATAGAACTCGAGACCCCTAGGTGTGCGGTCTGACACTCCAACCACTGAGCAACACAGGCCAGGGCAAGTTTGACATTCTTTAATCCCGTTAAAGTTTCCTGAAGCTGCCAATAGCAGACTCCAAAAGAAATGACGTGAAGCTTGAAATGTTTACTTTTGATAGGCACACTGAGGAATTTTTCTTAAATCAGGTCAAAACAAAATATTTGCTGACACTGACACAATGAAGGATGGAAGAACGTCTTCTGAAATTTAAAGGAATGGGTGGGAAAGATAAGGAGACCACAGGGTGGAAATGAAGGGTTCCCTATAACTCCTTTTCTTGTTAACGAACCCCATGGATCCTCGAGTTGCCTTCTGCCTTCAGTGTGTGTCTGCTTTGATTAGGCTTTCCTCTGGGCTGGAAGTACAGACACACAATAAGGAGAGATTCCTCTTGCTCACTCCCTTCCTCTCCCGGTCCCTTTCACCTAGATGTGCATTCCTGGCAGTTTGCCTAGCGTCTTGGCAGAGACAGAACTTTCCCCTGAGCAGAGCTGCAGGAAAGGGGGGACTGTCCCTGTGATGCAGGGGATCTGTCTGCATGACAGTGGGTCTCACCCTGGTGTTGCAGAGAAAGAAACAGCCTGTACTGTCACCAAAGCAGTGGCTACAAATTCTTACGAGAGCTCTCTCTGCCCCCATGTCCCCAGGGGAAGAGAGAAGAGCAATATCGCTAATGGTCTGAGGAAGAAAATGGGCAGGAAATGAAAGAAAGTTGACAGGGAATGAAAGAAATGAGTTATTTAAAAATATTGCACAGTTGCACAATATTGCCCCCAGCAACTCTGTAGATCATTCCCTAGAATGTAGAGAGGATTTGAAACATTTTTAAAAAATGGCTAGAAAAAGCTCTCAAAAAACTTCCACATTCTCCCTGCATCAAATATACATGCCAAAAATGTAATAATCAGATATGTTAAAATTGATAAAAAATATAGGTGATATAAAGACAACAGTTTTTTAAAAATCTTTTTTTTATGCCACTTTATAGCAGGTAGTGCTTAAATTACATTTTTAAAGTATGGTGTTCAAATGCATTTTCTTTCTTTATTTTCCTGGAAATCTGATTTTCTAAAGGCCATTAGCTCCACTCCAGTGTGGCAAAGGCTAACGGGCCAGAATCATGGAATTACTGCAGATGCTGATTTTGACAGACAGAATGAATACTACAGAGTCAGATGGCCATCTTTTGTCAACTGTGGAAAGGAAGTCTTGTTTGAAAATTCATCCTTCAACATTGATTCTTTTGGGTCAGAAGTGTAGCAAGACATTCGAAAATGCCACTGGTTCTAGCTAGCATATGTATTCCACCGGAGATGAACAAGGTCTGGTCTTATGTCACTGATTTCTGTTCTTTCCCAAGCCCTTTACAGCCATGTGGGAAAGAAATGCTTTCCTTCTAAATTAATGAGGTTCTCTAGCAGTTACCTGGAAAGGGCAGGGAAACCACATTATAACATCGAAATACCTTTTCTACAACAGGAATGACTACCGCGTTCTCTTTAATTTACCATGAATTTCACTAATATGTATTTAGCCTCATTGTTCTTTTTCAGGAAAATGGGATCAGTGAGATGAACTGATTTGTGATACTTCCAGGTAATGAGTGCAATTTCATATGCACTTTAAACATTCACTCTTAAAATAGGCCGTCCAGACAGTTCCCTTCCTTGCTGCTAAGCCCTCAGGTGTAACTTTTACCCTGCCCTGGGCTATGGAGGGCTTTCTGGGAACCTTTTAGAATGGTCAAGGGCATAAAGGAAATACATGCGAAAAGGGTGATCTTTTATAACCACTATATTCAAGTCAGGGTTCGGTTTGACACTGAAATATACTTACTCAATGTAATTTATAGAAAGTATGTAGTTACTGAGTCTGAAAAATATCAGATCAATAACCCGGAAGACAAATAGTGATATTACCCACTTCACTCAAACTCCTGACAGATGGCGAGAATGATGACAATGTAATGTCCTTTCTGCATTGTGGTGAGGTATAAAAAGGATATCAAAGGAAGAACCAAGAGTACTTTTCTGCCACCGTTACCTCTCCTTTACTTTCGTGACATCCTCCTCTGTAAAGTTATAAAAATAAGTTTCTTTAGGAGCTATCAGTTTGTTTTTGGGATGGACAGATGTTTTTGTCACACTAAACTTGGAAAAAAATCCATTTACTATACCTGGAACCACTCCATGCTGTGTAAGGCACTTTATTTTGTAAAATTATTCTAAAAAGATTTAAGTTGGTAGCTAGATATGCTAATGTTTCTCTCACTAGAGATTCTTTCAAGATACCTTAAAATGCCAATTAAGTCATTTTAGATGAAAACCTGCAGCAAGGATCCACACAGAATTAAAAAATCATATAGAGTCAACCATTTTTCATTTAAGAATTCATTTAAGTAACTGGTAAGTGGGAAGGGGAAATGAATGATTCAATTGTGTGTGTGTGTGTGTGTGTGTGTGTGTGTGTGTGTGTGTGTGTGTGTGTGTGTTTTAAAGATGTTTGGTTGCCATTCTGTGGAGCAATATAAGGGAGTCTTTTAACTTATATGTATCAGGTTGGTAAGTTAGAAAAGATGACTCCACTGTATTTTGTACATTTGGTTTTACCAATCGCCATGGTATAGATCTGATATAGAATAGCAGGTAATGGATATAAAGTTCGGTCTGGAGACTTCTGGTCTCTGTTCCGACCTGAATCTCCGGCCTCGCCACGAGCAGCACGATTCTCCTGCACTCATCGCTGGAGAGCAACGCCACTGCTTCTTCTCGATTCTGGACATCTTCCCCATTTATCTAGAAAACATATGAAAGTGGCACATTAGTTTCCATTTCCGCAATGCTGCACACAATAAATGGCAAATATCAGCTCATTTATGGTAAATGTATGGACAATGAAGCTCACGCAATGGGCTCATCTTCTGCCCCTCAGTGGCAAGTGCCTTCACTCAATTACGCGCTTACTGCAAGAGCCATATCGATCCCTGAAGGATGGCGGACATCAGAGGAAGCAGTTATGTTCATAAATGTCCAACCTGCGCCCTGGCAACATACATCTAGCAACACAATTAACCAGCCCCTGACAGGTGACGTTCATCTTTCTCCGCTCAGAGTAATGGAAGTGTCACTCTGAGATAATAGTGCTGGGGGAAGCAGCGTGGCAATACCACAACTGAAATCCGTCATCCTGCATGCTCGCTGCGAGCCAATTAGAGAGCTGCGGTATTATCTCTCACCCGGCCACGCTCCCAGGCCACTGATGATTGCATTTTCATTTAATCATTTCCTATCTGTGTGAGGGTCTGACTCAGTTGTCCCAAATCACTCTCAGAATGCCTTTCAGTGCTAGTCTAATCAAAAGAAGGAATACTTAGTAACATCCTCATCATTACTCCAGTTCCTTTCTAAGATTTATCCTTATTCTAAAACAGTAAAATGAATGCTCTATCTTAAGACTCACCTCTTAAGTGTACTTAAAATACTTTAAAAATTAACACAGAGTAAAATGAGCTTTTTGCAAGAATCCTTTGTGAAAGAAACCGAGCTTGAGTAAACTTTTGACTAAAAAGGAGAGACTCCGGTGGCATTTAAAATATGTCTATTTTTTTTTTCTTTTTCTAAGCTCTACTGATAGAGCAAATAAGGTTTCTAAAATTTGTATGTGAAACTACATTTTCATGCTTAAATGTATTTAGCTCTTAGTCAGCCCAATTATTTTCTTTGGATATTTTAAATTTATTTTGTCTTATTGATTGTTCAAATCTGTAAAGACAATGAGATTTTTCACCCATAACATATAATCAAAATATATGAAAATAAATTTCAGTTGAAGAGGTCGACTAATTCTATCTCAAATAAGTATTAATTATATCAACAAATTAAAATGTGGCTGCATTGGCCATTTTTTCAGTAATTAATCTAACATCTTTCACTAAGGATTTCTGCTTAAAAGCATGAATTAGACTACCGAGGTTTTCTTGTTGTGGGTCTCTAGGATTCTGGCTGATATTTGAGAACAGACTTAGTTATAAAAAAAAAAAAGCCCAGGAAATCTCAACTTTGAGTCATAGTAAATGATCCAAATTCTAGACTTTTATGTACTTAACACAAATAAAGCAAACAATAATAGGCAAAGGAGGGAAAGTCACACAAACACATGTTGTATTTTCTTACTCTGATCAAAGGAATATCCGTTAGTTTTTCACTTGTATATGGAGACAGGAAATTCTGATTTTATTAGTTTTAAGTGCACTTTCTTTTCTTTTTTTTTCAATTCACAAATAACATTTATTAAGTTAGAAAATAGAAGCTATGATTCCAAAACGTAGACTAACAACTGGGGAGCATATCTTGTTGTTTTTTCGTAAATGTATATTTGAAGAGGTATTTTCCTACTGAATCCAAGGCCATTTTTCCTTAAATGAAGATATGTTGGAGGTGATGGAATCCATGATGTCTCTGCCACCCCCAATTAGGTGTAGTTGGAAAACTTTTACTCTCTTTGAACTTTGAGGATTTATGTCCATTTCATAGAAATTCTTAGTAGTATATCTGCAATGCACCTACTTGCCTGTCAATCATGAACCTAGTCACCTCCCCTCCACTGCAGGCATATTTGATCCTAAGACCTAAGGGGATTGAGTTGGATGATCTCACATAGCTTATCTTCATCTTTTCTAGTTAAAATAAAATTCTCACTACTTCTCCCTCCTACTCTCCATTCGAATATGTACACATACTGCCAAATTCTTCATCTAACTTTCACTTATCAGTAATCTAAATACTTTTTCATGTATGTTAGTTTAATGTTTATAGTTTCATGTTTAATGTGCAGATAATAATAGATAATAATACCTTTTTAAAGAGGGCTATTATAAGGATTAAATGAATTAAGATATATAAATATGGGTTTCAATAAGTGCCTGGCACACTTTACTGTTGATACTATTGTTGTTACTACTGTCATTATTTATATTTTAATCTTCTGTAAAGGAAAATTATTTTCTTCTAAATAAAGCAAATACCTATATTAAAATTCATGCACAACAATTAAATTCACAGTAGTAAACATGGTTCTATTTTAAAACGTCTCTTACAGAGCCTTCAAGAAGCAATATATTTCTGTTTCATTTTAAGTCCTTTTATAGTTGATATGCATCTCTCTCCTCTATGAAGTACTAATGACCTAGAGCTATGGTCTTCGGACCTGGAAGTCAGTCCTTGTTTTTTTGGGGGGAGGTGCTTATAAGATCATATGTTTTAGAAACACTTTGACATTCAGAATCATATGTGGAATGAAATGAACTTGTCACTGATACCTGACATTAAAGAGTGGTGTTTTGTTGTTGTTTTTCAAAACAAAGGCCACTGTAGCCAACTCGTTTGGTAGGTCCTATTGTCCTCAGGACTTTAATTTGATTCCCTAACTGATGTCGGGGCAAGACCTGCAGCCATGCGTTTCAACAAAGATGCTTCTCAAGGAATGAGAAGATCTGAGGAATGGAATTAGTTAGAGCTTTCACCCTTCATTTGCTCTTATTCCTGCATGGTGGCTTGTAGCTACAGGATCGCTGGTGGGGAGTGGCTGCAAACACCAGCAGACATAAAGGTGCAGGACCCAGAAACAAGGGGAGGAGACAGATGAGTAGCATGTCACTGCAATTTAATGGGAGGCTTCCCTTTTTAAAGAAGAGGGGGAGAGGGAACCAGGAGAAGACAACATGCAACTTCTGTTATACATGAAGAACAACTTTGCTAGATAATATATCTGTCTCATTTTCTGTGGATGGCGATATGCAAATATTAGTTTCAAAATGAGTATTGCCTTAGCTGAGAGGAGATTTGTGGCAATTACACAGATATATCAGGGAAGATCTCACTTTAGGCCCAACCTCCTACATGTATGAGCATATGAGCATTGTGTGTGTGTGTGTGTGTGTGTGTGTGTGTGTGTGTGTGTGTAAAATGTTAAAATCCTAGAAATGGTTTAATGTAGCTTTTTTGCTTGACTATACCAATTTTCAGTTTTCCTATTTTAGTATATCAGGGGCAGCTGGGCAACTAAAATTGTAGACATCCAGCCACCTAGGGAATTTCTTATTTGAAAACATAAGACTCTTAGGCAGAAGAGAAATGATTCATTTCAAATGGGTTCATATTTTAAGGGGGAGAGGAAGAAGGTGAATGAAGTATAGAAATGTAGAGATGGGTAAAACAGAAATTGGTGAAAATGGTTATCCAAAGGGAAGAAAATAAGATGAGCAAGAAGAAATGCTGAGGACCACTCCGTGTGCAGGGGAGAGAAAGAAAGAGAGGGCTCGTTAGGAATCTTATGTCCCACTGTTCTGAGTTTTTGCCAGTTTTTGTCACCAGGTAGTCCTTAGAAATACAACGGACTCTTTTGGCTGACATGAAATTAGGCTGCTTACAAAGAATATTAAATCATATTATCCCAAGGAGAAACTGAAAATATAGCAGTCTCTCCTTTGGAAAGATGATCACAGGTGGCATTTAATCCTTCCCCTCTGGCTCAGAAATGCCTGGTCTTTATTTGGTGCTGCAATTTTGTGAGAGGACTTCCCCATATTAATTCCTGAGGACACATCTGATACCACAAACCTGTGGCAAAGGCACAGCAGATAGAATTGTCAAGCACTTGCAGAGAGAAAACACATGGGTGATAGCCGGAATATGTTATCTGGAAGTCAGCTCATGCTTTCGCTTCTGCATAATCCCTACCCTGTATCAACCTCCTGCAAGGATCTGTGTGTGGATGGTGTCACTGGGTGAGGTCATCTAACAGGGAGGGTCAGGGTCTGAGTCATTTGGAAAAATTTAGCTACACAGTGAGGGCAGGATCACAGAGGTACTCTACTTAGGTCCTCATGAGCAGGAGATTAAAATCACAATAGCTCTAAAGAGATTCATTTAAATAAAAGCCAGCCAGGAAACTTGAAGGATAAGAAGTAAATCCCCCCTTTCTCCCACGCTCATCTCCCTGGGAAAGGAGTCATTAATTCTTCATTACAGGGTATCCCATAATCTCCCCATCAGCCATGTGGGAGCTATTTGTCTATGGGTACAATTTTGTCACAGTTTTCTTTAATATAATTTCACTATCACCCTTAAGACTCTTTGTTTCCTGTGTGTGCAGATAGAATTGAATTCAAGGCTTTTTAATGTGACATGTATTTATTCATTAAGTGTGACATATTTCCACTGAATATAAAGTAACCAGACAGACAATAGCACTGTATCAGTTCTGCTGTTGTTTCTTCCATGAACCAACGTCATTAAGCAATGCCATATTGCCTGGCTAGTGTGGCTCAGTGGTTGAGCATCCTCCCATGAAACAGGAGGTCACGGTATGATTCCAGGTCAAGGCACATGCCTGGGTTTTAGTCTCAATCCCTAGTAGGGGGCATGCAGGAGGCAGCCAATCATAGTTTCTCATTTATGTTTCTAACTCTCTCTCTCTCTCTTCCTTTCTCTGAAATCAATAATATACATATACTTGAGTGGGGGGGGGTCCCCTCAGCCCAGCCTTCACCCTCTTGCAATCCGGGACTGCTGACTCCTAACCACTCACCTGCCTGCCTGCCTGATCTCCCCTAACCACTCTCCTGCCTGCCTGCCTGATCACCCCTAACCACTCTGCCTGCCTGCCTGATCACCCCTAACCACTCGCCTGGCTTTCTGATGCCCCCTAACCACTCGCCTGCCTGCCTGATCACCCCTAACCACTCTGCCTGCCTGCCTGATCGCCCCTAACTGCTTCTGCCTCAGCCCTCACCGCTGGGGCTTCATCCGGAAGGACGTCTGAAATGACATCTGGAAGGCTGTTCGGCTGTCCAGTCTAATTAGTATATTACGCTTTTAGTATTATTGATATATATATATATATATATATATATATATATATATATATATATATATATGAAATACCATATTATCCAGCAAATATTTTACCTAAAAACATTTTCTGCCCACAATATAGCCAAGAATAAAGAAGTGTCAAAACATACAGTATGCATATGTGGAAACACATGTACTTGTTCCTACCCAACTCTAGCCACAGAACTAATAGACGTAATTTTGAAAGCTCTATTTGCGGACCTAGCCTGTGGGAAAGTGGTTATCTGAAAACCAGGGAGGGAGCTAGTGCGGGTGCAGAGGGGACTGGGTGTGGCACACAGATGTGAGAGGAAGAAGTGGCAGCTGCACCCGGCAAGAGAACAATGACAAAATATAGACCCGACATATCAGAAAATGTAGCCAACTAGAGTCATGGGGTACAAAATCTTCCAGGCCTTTTAGTCATTGAGCATTTCACTCTGTTATAGCATTGTGTAATGACTGCTGGGCATAACATGACCCTGAGTGCCAAAAAAGGTTACATCTTTTTTAGTGTACTTAATTGGAGATGTTAACAAAGTGAACTACATTTAAAATTCTTTCCAAATAAAAAAAGTAAAATATTTTTGAAGCTTTCATTACCTAGATTATACCTTAAAATGGTACCCTCGCCGAAACCGGTTTGGCTCAGTGGATAGAGCGTCGGCCTGCGGACTGAGAGGTCCCGGGTTCGATTCCGGTCAAGGGCATGTACCTGGGTTGCGGGCACATTCCCAGTGGGAGATGTGCAGGAGGCAGCTGATTGATGTTTCTCTCCCATCGATGTTTCTAACTCTCTATCTCTCTCCCTTTCTCTCTGTAAAAAATCAATAAAAATATATTTAAAAAAAAAAAATAAATAAAATGGTACCCTTAATTCTTGTTGAGGCTACACAAGTAAAGCTTTACTGCAGATTTTATTCATCTATCCTATCACTCTCTCCACTGAATATGTCTGTTTCACTTATTCACATATGCATGAGAAGATATTAAGAATATGGGATTAAACAAGACTAAGCCTTGGTTTCCAGGTTCACTTTCCTTCCCTTGATACAGTCAATGCCAGACACAGTCCAGTTTGCTAACTATAGGCCACCACTTAGGGAGCTCACTGAAGTAGAAATGATATATGTATTCTGGAAGTTTTCTGAAAACTAGTGGGACCATGACTAATTCATGCTTTTATTCTTTTTAAATTGGAGCCTTAGTAAAAGGTCCTTGATGGAAAAGGAATTCTGTGGCATCCAGAGAGAGGAAGGAAAACTATGCAGAATCGATGTGACTCAGTGCGCATCACCCTGAAGACGGGGAAGAAGAAAAGCATAAGGCTGGGCGGGGTAACCCTCTGGTGTGCGCCTGAAGTGGCAGGGGCACACCTTCATCATGTACCAGTATTTGTAATCAGCTGTGTATGCGGCCGTCTTCCTAATTACACGGCACCGCCCCAAATGCTGGGATGGCATCTTGTCTATTTTTGAAGTCCTGTTCTAGGCACCTTGCTGAATCCAAATGTGTTGAGTTCAAAGAAACATTCTCTGGGGGTTGGTATGTAGTAAGAAGAAATGGGAACTATAGGTCTGCCCTAATGACCAAAACTTTTGCAGAACGTTTTAACAGTTTGTAGCGTCCCCAGTTTGTCTTTTGCGTCCTCCCTCTTGTTTTGCAGCGGAGCTCAACTCTCAAGGGCCTGAGCAGCCGGGTGGCTTTCTGGAGCCATTCTTTCTGGGAAAGGATTCAGGAGGGACAGAGTGGGTCCAGGCAAAGTTAGGACAGAAACTGGCTCTCAAGGTTATCCCTGATTTGGCCCCGAACTTTTCCAGTTCTGCAGCCCCCCTATGACCTGCTGACCTCTTCTCTCATTCAGCTGAAATGTAATGTTTCTATGTTTTCATGTAGAGAAGAAAGCATATTTCCTCCACCTGACTTGAACAACTTATCAGTAAATAGTTAAAACTTCTAGCCTTCTAGGCTTTCATATAGTAATGGAACATTGGGATTTCTCACCTAAATTATTCTGGAAAAGGTAGCAATAACCGCTGCTGCTGCTAGTAATAACAGCAATGAATGCTGATTCCTCACCATGCACTGTGCTAAGAATATCACATGCATGATCACATCTAACCTTTGCAGCAATGTTTTATCATTATAGTTTTTTAAGATGTGGAAACAGGCTTACAAGAGAGTAAGTAATGTGCCCAAGTAAGTGTGAAGCTGGAAGTTGGAGTTAAATTATCTGAGTTCAGAGAGGGCACCCTCATCACTAATTATTAGCTAATAATTTTTAATAAATGGCACTATCCTCACTGGAAAAGTTATACCACTTTATTTTGTAGATGTCACTACCCAAAGCAAAATCAACTCCTTTTCTCTAAGATTTTATGTTGGACACATGCCCTGGCAGGTGTGCTCAGTGGTTAGAATGTCAGCCCTTGCACCAAAGGATCTTGGGCTCTATTCCTGGTCATACCTGGGTTGCATGTTTGTCTCTGTCCCTGGCCGGGTGCATGGGGAAGGCAACCCGTCCATGTGTCTCTCTCACATCAATGTTTTTTTCTCTCTCTCTCCTTCCATGCCTCCCTCCCTGCTGATACTCTCTAAAAAGCAATGGAAAAAATATCCTTGGGTAAGGATTAATAACAACAAAAAAACGACAACATAAAACAAACAAAAAGAATTGTAGGAAACTGAAGGAAATAACCACACCACATACTTGCAAAATACGATCCCCTTCTCGAATCCGGCCATCTTTGGCAGCAATGCTATTTGGATCTACCTGCAACAGAGAGGACATACATCTTCAACCGGATCTGCAATTTCTCCCCCCAAAATTTAAAATTATGGTTTTAAAAAATATTTCTAAAAACCTGGTTCATGATTCTCTTGATTTATAGAGTGCATATCAAATTTTTCTCTGTGAAAAAAATTACTGGTTTTACAGCCACATAGTATTTCATGGTGTAAATAAATGTATCCCAGCTTTTTTATCCACTCACTCCTCTACTGCTGGGCACTTGGGCTGTTTCCAGATATTGGCTATTGTAAAGAACGCTGCTATGAACATAGGGGTGCATATATTATTTCTGATTGGTGTTTCAGGATTCTTAGGATATATTCCCAGAAGTGGGATTGCTGGGTCAAAAGGTGGTTCCACTTTTAATTTTTTGAGGAAACTTCATACTGTTTCCACAGTGGCTGTACCAGTCTGCATTCCCACCAATAGTGCAAATGAAGATTCCCTTTTCTCTGAAACCTCGCCAGCACTTGTTGTGTGTTGATTTATTGATGGTAGCCATTCTGACAGGTGTGAGGTGATATCTCATTGTACTCTTACCTTTTCAACAGCATGGATAGACCTGGAGATTATCATGCTAAGTGAAGTAAGCCAGCCAGAGAAAAATAAATATATCTGGAATCTAATGACCAAAATAAACTGGTGAACAAAATAGAAACAGAGGCATGGATATATGGAACAGACTGACAGAGGTCAGAGGGAAGGAGATTGGAGGATACTGGCTGAAACAAGATGAAGAGATTAGCCAAAAAACATACATCCATAGCCCATGGACATAGACAACAGTGTGGTGATAGCCTAAGGGAGGGTGGGCAGGGGCTGGGTGGACATGGGTAAAAGGAGGGGAAAATGGAGGACATCTGTGATAGTGTAAACAATAAAAAAATTATACGGAAAAAAATCGTTGATTCTAAAAATGTAAATCAACTGCTTTAGAATTAATAATAATACAATTAAAAAGACTAGAGAAACCTTGATTTGAAGACCATTTTTTCCTTCCCTCCCTCTCTTTCTTCCCGCCTGCCTTCCTTTATCTGTTCTTCCTTTTTTATATCCATTCACTCATTTCTGTAGCCCAACTGTCAGACATGGTCTTCAGCTGATTCTAATACTTCGGATTCTCTGGACCAAGAAAATTTACTTTCTACTAGGGTGATTTTTAAATCCTGCCTTCACTGTCTTAGAAAAGCTGACAGCTATACTGTTAAGTCTATACTTTTTAAAGGATTTCTGTCTCATGAGCACATTAATTTATAAAGAAATTTATAATCTATGTTGCTTCAAAATTAAAAAGTCCTACCCATGTAGATTATTACTAGACACTAAATATAGGGTGAAATATATTAACTAAAATGTTTTAGAATAAATAGATATTTAGGGCACTTAAGATTTTATCAATATTTTAACACATCAAACTTAAGTGTTGACTTACAGTTTACTGGGGATAATTCCACCTATCACATTTCACACGATGGCTTCAAATAACCATTTATTTGAGCTTATTTCATCAAAGTTTTTGTTGTTGTTGTTGTTGTTGTTGTTGTTTTAGCAACCTATTTCAAGTGTTGCATGAGGTTGATCCATCCTATCCAGATGTTAGATATTACTTGTTTATTAGGTGGTGCCACCTAATAAATGAGTCTTAAGTGATCAATCAAAAACATGCAAGAGGTATAAGAAAAACATTTCTTCCAATACATGTGTTCAGTTCCTGTGGCTTGTTTACTACCCCTGGAAAATAAAGTTCTAAAGCTGACATATTTAAATAGTAAACAGAGACTTACTAGGAGGAAGTGAGGGGTGATTAATCAATTGTAACCTGTTTAGAAGCCATTCACAATCTAAAACTTTGTCCTCAGAACTGTTATTAAACTAATATTAAACTTCTACATTTGTCCCTCTATACATATTACAAAAGAGAATCCTGCAGGTGTTTTCCTTATACTTGCTCACCATAATTGCAGGGATTATCATAGCTGTACATTAAAAAGATGCATATAAACTAGATATTTGCTATAGATTTTTCCATTGCAAGAGCCAGTCAGTAAATTCTTTTTTAAAAAAATTATCTTTAATGTTGAAAGTTTACAGATGTCCTCTTCCTTTTCCCTCTTTGCTCCCTCCCCAGGCCTGCACCACACTATTGTCTGTGTCCATGGGTTATGCATATATGCATATAAGTTCTTTGGTTAATCTCTCCCCGCCTCTCTGAGATTCATCAGTCTGTTGCGTGCTTCAATGTCTTTGGGTCTATTTTTTTTATTAGTTTATCTTGCTCATTAGATTCCACATATAAATGAGATCATGTGATATTTGTCTTTCTCTGGCCAGTCAGTACATTCTTTGGTAAAGTGATAAAGAGTAGCATTTACATTTATAGAGCTGTATAGTTTTCTAAGTGCATTAATTACATTATCCTTTACATTGTCTAAACATCTCTTTAGAAACAATGAGATAAGCATTGTTGTACTAAGTTTCTAGCTGAAGAAGCTGAAGCTCAGTATGTCAGGAAATGTTTTCAAGATCATGGCCAAGAAAACTTGGAATAGCAATTAGTATCTAGTCTACTTTCTGCATATATATATACACACACACACATACATATACGCACATGTACATTTATTTATACATGCATATATGGAGGATTTAGATAATATATACATGTACATATGCATATATACATATATTTACATAAAGAGGTGATTTTTAATCTTAAGTATATATAATTACAAAAATCATACCTTACCACTTCTCATAAAATGATTCTTTTGGGAGTTAAAAAAAATCACCTATAATAATAAATTTTGCTTCACAATTTTTCAAAGTAATTAACACGAAGGGTGTTTCACATTCAAGTACCTCATTTTTTAAAGAGTAATTATGGGGTTGCATAAAACAAACTAATAGATGCATGCCTTGAATATTCAAATTTATTAATGCTGTCAGCAGAGTAAAATATGTGATTGTTGTGAATATTAGATTTAGAACAATTAGTCAATGCTATTGTTAAGAGCACTGATAGAAGACACAGTGGAATGGAAGGACAAATGTTTGCTGATCAAAAACTTTGCTTGACTTCCTGCATACTTATGGGCATTTATTCAAATTTAGACAATGTTACTATTTTTGCTTTTTTCCCTTACTGGGATTCTGTGGTGAAAGATCTGCATTAAACAAGCTGATAATAATTACATTACTTGGGCAACATCATTTACTTTCCTAATTGAAAGTGACAAGTGTTGGAACATGGCCAATTCTTCACATTCAAGCCGCCCAAGGATTTTCTCATGGTGAGTCACTTTACACCATTCCTCACAGCCTCCCTCCTCTGACCTCGCTCCACGGCCTCTCTTACCTCGCTGACATAAATGCCGGTGTCTTCTTCATCATCCGTGCGGTAACAGACTGTCAGGCCCAGCTTCTCTTGACTGCTAACACGACACAACTCGACCTCCTGAGAAAAACGCACGCACAGCGACATTTATCTCAGAGAGGAATCCCACAGCAGAACGGAGTTTCCCTGGGCTGTTTTCATAATGATTGCCCAACTTCTGAAATTAAGTTGTTACCAAAATCATCAAAATAGACCTTCAATGTTCATTTCTCTATATTTAAGCCAACGTTTCCAATGTCATTGTATAGTTGGAAATGTGCATTTTTTGCATGAAATCATAAGCTTAAAACTCCTTAGAAATCACACAATGAAGTATAAGTAAATGTGCATACATTAATATGATGGAATCAATAACATATTTGAGAATGTCCAAGTAGATGGCAAAATGTTCATTAAAATATTGAGAGTCACTGTGTCTTTATTTGTATTTTAATAAAAAACAGTTCAAATAAAAAAGACTATATTAGATTCTACATTAATTCTTCTTTTGAGTTCTATCCAATAAGATAATAAGCAAGTATTTTGTGTGGCTTAGGTCAAGGTTTCTATTATTTGGTAGAAGTTCTCGCCCCTGAGATGAAATGGGTTCATCCAGACTGAAGGGAGAGACCTATCAACAGTCATGTGGGCAGAGGCAATGATTCAAAACGCAGCAGTAAATGAACAAGGAAACACCTTTACTGAAACACATGGCTAAGAGGCTTAGAAAGTCAGTCCTTAGGTAATGTATATTGAATCTATTTCCTGATTTATGTTCAGCAAAATAATAATAAATTTCAGTGTATTTCAGTTTTATATCATGAAATAGACTTGTACTACTCTCGGCAGCAGATGACTTTAGGATAAATTGCATAATTCCAAGGACTAAAACACAAATTGGAACTCTCATCCTGGAGCACCTGTTCCAGTTGGATGGAGAATATAAGGCCCTTTAGTAAATCACCCGATGAGAAAGAACAAAGTACATTTACATAGAAACTGGCATCTGGAATTACATTTCTAGAACTCGGGCCCCGTGGGAACTGCAAACGTGCCTGTCTTGCTTACTGCTCCTTCTCCATTGTCTACAGCAGGGATGCACTGAGGGCGGACACTGGTTGAAGGGTGATTGCTTTTATTTCAAAATCTGTCCTAAATGCTTGTAACTTTCTGTGAAATAATAATTAAGTCATCTTTCCTCTTTTTTAAAATAATATTTTTTATTGATTTTTAGAGAGAGGAAAAGGAAGAGGGAGAGAGAGAGGGAGAAACATCCATGTGAGAGCAAAACATGGATCAGCTGCTTCCTGCACGCCCCCTACCCAACCAACTGAGCCACACCCGCAAGCGCAGTATTGCCTCTTAATTGAAGGTTGATTGTGTGTGTGTGTGTGTGTGTGTGTGTGTGTGTGTGTATGAAAATATTTCAAAGATTGGTATTAATTATTAATAAATAATCCACCTAACTGTCTATAATCTGAAATAACTACCAGGCCTAAATAAAGAAAAACTCACTTTATTTTAAACAAGAGGATACTTCCCAGTATATTCTTCGTTACATTTGAAGTAGCTTCCCTTTCAATTTTGCATTTCAGTGAAGTCTTTGTCTTTGAATAATAATCATTTATTTTAATGACATGCTATAAACCACAGGTAAATCCTTAGCAAGGGTAAACTATCATAAGCTCCAGTGACCAATAATTTCACAGCTAATATGAAATCAAATAAAATGGCAATCTCCTATCTTGAGACATGCACTTCAAATTGGTGAATTACATAAAACAATGAATGCTGACTTTCTAACTGGTGGGCAAATATACTCTAAATCACATTACAATGATTAAAAAGGGCATGGTGTATGCTGAACAGTAAAGAAAAAAAGATGAAAAATCTTTTCACCTAAAGGAAGAATTGGGGGGAAAAGTGATATGATTTGGCACCAGAAGCAAAAAGTAAAACCGAGCAAGGATATTTGCACAACTGGCAATAATTAATGCCTCCAGAGGGCAAGACTACTTGACTAAAACTGGGACATTAGGAAGGAATTACCACAACAAAAGAGCTCCAATTACAGCAATGAAGTACACAGTTGAGGAGTAAAGAAGCTTGTGATTCCTAAGAGGCCTACAAGGAAATCTAAACACCCATAAAGAACTGAGATTGGGACCTTTAAATTCAAGCAAATGAAGAGCCTTCGTTAAAAGCTGAAATGCATTGACTTTTAATGTCCTGCCAACAGCACAGGAGAAAGTCCCTTCCCAGTGGGAAGTTGTTTCCCAGGGGAGCATTCCTTTCCTGAGTGTGTTCTCCACGTGCTCAGTGGTGTGCCCTGGCTTCATGACTGTTTAGAAGATGCATATCAAAATACTTTCCAATAAAATGGAACCTATACATTAAAATAAAAAGGGCTGCCCAGCTGGTGTTGCTCAGTGGTTGAACGCTGACCTATGAACCAGGAGGTCACGGCTTGATTTCCAGGTCAGGGCACATGCCTGGGTTGTGGGCTCAATCCCCAGTGTGGGGTGTGCAGGAGGCAGCCGATCAATGATTCTCTCTCATCTCTGGTGTTTCTATCTATGTCTCCCTCTTCGGTCCTCTCTGAAATCAATAATAAAATATTTAAAAAAATTAAAAGGGCAGAATCTACCCTTTTTACCACAGATAAAAGCATTTACCCAAGAATCACAGGGGAAAGAAGACTAAGATCCTGAGGTCAAAACAACTTTTCAATATTGTCGTCATATTGGACCTAAGCGAATGGGTGAAACAGGTCTCAGTGTTCCCTACAGCACCTTTGTTTTCAACATCTACTTTTATAAACACTTAGCACCCTCAGAATTAATTTGATCTCCCTGAAGTTCTTAAGGACTGCCTGCCTGTCTAGGTAGCCAGTAGTGTTTCAGGTGTGCCACCACGATTACCTGTCTGCTAAAAATATCTGGGGTTTGGTATGATCTTTCATTCTCTTAAAGTAGCTCTTGAGTCATAAAGATAATTGATAAGTCCATATTTCTTAAAGGGATCATCATTAAAATTACTTAAAATGTGGGCCATCCAGAGGTCAATACATACTAATAAAGACTGAAAATACCAAGCTTTAATTCAAAAGATGAACTTTTTGGTGTCTCGATTTCAGGCTCTGAAGGAAACTCAAGTGCGATTCCCTGGATGCCACAAACCACCACCGTACACCAGTCCCAAGTGTGGGCCTGCATTTCTTTCTCTGGTTGAGAATGCCTCAGACACTACACATTTCATATTAGTACCCAGATGCATACGCTTTAGAATCAAAGTTCCTTTAATTGTATGACAAAATAACTAACACGCAGCTACCTGGAGAGCATGTTGTTTGCAGGAGGCAAGGGTGGCTTGGTCAAGCCGGATTCTCTGAAAGGAATGCTCGGGCACGGGTTGCATTTAGCATTCCCCTCACAGTGCACCCAGACTCTGATTCCTGAAGAAACAACCTCCGGTAATCGAGGATGCTTTCCCTAACAACGCCCCTACCTTTCCCCCGTCACAGGGAAGCTGTTTGATGAAAGACATAAAAGTGAAATGCTACCTTCTGCACATTTTCTGCACGGAGACGATCCAGGGGCGTATACAAATCAAAGCCGAGCCGATGCTCCCCATCCATAAGTCATTTGTGGCTGCGGTGGAAGAAGCACTTCACAGGTCTGGGGAAGCTACATTCATTTTGGCTTCCGTGTGCTTTAAGATGCTATGTTCTGGGAATATGTACAAAGTCCCTTTAAAAAATCAAATCATGGTATCTAATCCTGTGAGAAATTGATTATGTGGAGGTTGAGGGTGGAGCCTGAGATTGAAGTTAGAAAAGCTTGCTGTGAATCATCCTTCTAATCTTAGAATGACAAGAGGGGGGATTTTACATCAATCCGTTAGACGACAGTGCTGGGAAATGTATCTATTTTTTATAATTGGATCTAGGGAGAAAGTAGGAACTTAAAAAGAAAAAAACCATGACGCTTGCTTTTGCTTTCTAGATAGGACTTTCCTGTTGGAGGAAGAACTGAGGCTTGCAGCTGCCTGTCATGGCTCTTGAAGCAAATTGTTTCTAAACTCCAAAGAGCCCAGAGGTCTGTGACACAGAGGTTTCCCCTGAATGAGAAAATTCAGAGGCTGCCGGAACTACTCAAGTCTGGAGAAGAGCCAGAGATAGACACGATGGTCACTGACGTTAACTGACAATCATGGAGACGGCTATTGCGTCCACACCTTCCTTTTTATTTCATTTGTTTTGCTGCTTTTTATTTATCAGACAGCATATGGACTACTATACAAGTTAACTATTAATCATTGTCTTACATTTTGCATTTTTTAAAGATATTTTTATTGATTTCAGAGAGGAAGGGAGAGAGAGATAGAAACATCGATGATGAGAGAGAATCATTGATCAGCTGCCTCCTGCATGTCCCCAACTGGGGATCGAGCCCACAACCCCGGGGCATGTGCCCTTGACTGGAATCGAACCCGGGACCCTTCAGTCCCCAGGCCAACACTCCATCCACTGAGTCAAACCGGCTAAGGCTCATTTTGTATTTTTTTAAAATATAGTTTTATTGATTTCAGAGAGGAAGCGAGAGGGAGAGAGAGATAGAAACACCAATGATAAGAGAGAATCATTAATTGGCTGCCTCCTGCATGCCCCCTATTGGGGATCAGGCCTCAACCCAGGTATATACCCTTGACTGGAATTGAACCTGGGACCCTTCAGTCCACAGATAGATGCTCTATCCACTAAGCCAAACCGGCTAGGGCTTACATTTTGTATGTTGATTAGTAACTAGGAAAAAAGCCATACTTAGATATTTCAACAAAATATTTATTTAAAAAAGAAAGTGGAAAATATGAAAATTTTAACCATAGGTAAGAGAAGCCTACTGCAGCAATTTTCAACCTTTTTCATCTCATGACATAAACTAATTACTAAAATTCTATGGCACACCATATATATATATATAATTTCCCTACCTGGCAATTTAAAAAACAGGTATAATTTTGATTCATTCACACTGGAAGACTATTGTTATGTTGCCTATTGTCATTTTTTAAATTGATAG